CTCTTGGTGGTCTTAAGGATTGCATCATCCACATTCAGCTCGGTTTTCCCCTGCAAGCTTTTCAAATTGATGCACTCGTTGGAGAAGCGCATCGAAGCTAGCCCAAAGACTACCAAGAGAAATCCAATCACGCCCAAGGTCTTCTTCACATGCGGACAGCCACGATTCTGCACCGGCTCTTGGTCGGAGCCACTCTCCGGATGAACGTGGGAGAAGGCCAGCATCGCAAAGCAACTTGCTGCCGAGTCTAGAGATCTCAGTCTTTGAGCCACAGCTTTACTCGACCTCATTCACAAAGCGCTAGCTTTGCAAAATAACATATTCATTGATCCAGCCATGTCTCGCAACAAAAAATCCCCTGTCCCCTCCCTCCTAAGTAAGGAGCAAGACTGTTCAGTCCATCATGTCCTTGATTTGTATCATTCAATTGTATTGTGCGCACCAAAAGGCGAACAAAAAAGGCAACGCCGCGCGACCGCCTAGTCAAATAAGTAGGTTTTTCTGTATATCACCTGCTTACCTACAATGTGAGCAAGCTCCGGGGCCACAGATTGACCACTGCGGCGGGTCTCATTGAAAAACATGTCTTCGGTGCAAACAAGGAACAGTTGAAGGGACGGAGGCTTTTGAGCAAACAAGCATCCAACAAAGGTCTGTGGGTTCAAGAACTATTGGCTTATTTAATCTCTACAAACAAGGAACTGTTGTCAAGTAGAACTATTTATATAATTGGCTTGAGCTTTTTGCATTACAGCTTGAATTGGGAGCTGCCACTGTAATACGGCAAGAGAGATTTTCAGCACCGATGTAAAAATACAAGGGCACGAGGAAACGAACAGTTCTGCATAACGAGGATGCTGGGTTGAAGCATGCGGGAGAAGACAGATTCGGCAGCTTTTCTTACGAAACCACCACATTACTGTATACAAAAGCAAACCAAGCCTGTTGGTTGGGGGGGTCTGGTCTCACTATCAAATATATATATATATATATGTCTGTATGTCTGTATGTGTGTGTATGTGGGTGTATGTGTGTGTATGTGTGTGTGTATGTATGTATGTATGTAGGTAGGTAGGTATGTATACAAACATGTGTAGATATCTCTCATTATACACACACTTATGTGTACATACATATGTATATATAAATATATTAGAAACAAATAAAACACAGTATATAATTTATTATTAACCAATTTCAGTATTCTTTAAGCTTCATTCTTTTTTACCCATGGCCAAAACGTCAAGATAGCTTCCGATCTACATGGGTGGATCCCATCTGGTCTCCTTGGCGCCAGTGATCGTCGCTGAATCGCTTGAAAACGTTGAACACATTCTTCGTATTTGTCAACTCATACAATCAAACCTATGAAACAGTTTGGAGAAAACACAAGGTGAGAACTGTTAGCTCTCTGCCACATTCATAAAAGATCAAGCTGGAACAAAGCCGTCCATGTCCAGCAATATATGATGAGCCACTGAGCCTCGGCCCTGCCATTTCAACCAATTTCGTGTATGCCACACTTCCGCCTTTTTTTACCTCAGACCTTGGTCCTGTTTTTCCCCAACTGCCCGAGGAATCTCATTCCAGGTTGCGTTGGTCGCACGATTGAAGTAGTAGGTCTTGCCGCCTTGGTTTGGTGCCGAACAGGTCTGCTGCACGCTTGGGTTCGAACAGGTCGTGCCCGTCGACCCACCCGGTGAGTCTGGAGAGAAACGCCATGGTCACGCGTTTAAGGTGGACCATTAGTGTCTCATCCAAACGAACGACCAGTTGGGCGACGAAATCGCGAAATCGACCAGTTGGGGGGTGAACATCCTTTGGGTGAACACCCCCAGGCCCACCCTGTGCCAGCTCCACAGCCCAGTCACTGGCAGGATCTTGTGCTGATTCCCAACCGGGTGGTAGGGACGGCATGGCCGGTGCTGGCGGGGGTGCCGCTGGAGCGGCAGGCGGAGTCCAACTGGTCTCCTGAGGACGCAGAACCGAGCGCGCTGGGGAAGCCCCGGCACCCACCTGTGGGAACAAGAACAAGCAAATGGATGCGGAATGCATTTTTGGGAGCAGCAAGCTCATTCTTTTTTGGGGGAGGGAATGGTTGCTTGGGTGAAAGATGAATGAAGACAAAAAAAAAATCTCGTTCAACAGACGTCCGTTTTTTAATCCTCTGAAAGGCGACGTTTCAAACCAGCGAAGTGAAACATCACGACAGAGGATTTCCTTCGTCTAGACTGAGACCCACATGGCACCGGGCTAGGCATGGATCAGACTGGAAGAGGATTTTCTGTGGTTTCCAGGTTCCATGTGGGTCGAAGCATTCAGACCCGATGTCGGGCCGAATTCCCCATGCTGGCTGGGTTCCAGCTTCTGTCCACCAACTGCAAACTACAGTAGGGATCATCCTTCCCAACTCAGTGGTCCACAAATGGACCAGGAGACTGACCACGAGATCTTATATATGGTTGCAAGATTAGTATCCAAGCATATCCGAGCTATGGGCTTCAGTGTTTGACTCAAGTAGTATGTCCCACACTCCACAGGCAACATGGCATCAGAATGGGTCGAGCGGGAAAGACCTCCATCCCCAAGACCTCCAGTCAACAACCCCTCATTTTGCGACACCCAATGGTTGCGCAAATTTGCGAGGACAGAACGCATGTCGGCCGCACATCAAAAAACTATCCAAAAACTCACGCTGGGTCAGTTTGTTCATGGCAACATATGGATACCTATGGTAACGGATTAGCAGTTGTGACGGTGCTGGCTTCGTGGGTGCAATCCTTCAGACCAAACACTGAAGACATGTTTCCTATGATTTACCAAGCCAGGCTGCGTTGGTTGCACGATTGAAGTAGTATGTCTTGCCACCTCAAGTAGCACAAGGCTTGGCACAAGGGCCCACGTCGCCCTTGTATCTGGCGGGTCATATATTCACCCCACACGACTGGTGAAAACCAACACTGCTCGGTTTATGGATGGTCCTTAACAATCGACCGATCAGTTTGGTCCACGCAGGGCTGTCTCCAAATGGCTATTCCAGCAGTCCCTTTGAGGGGTACCTCTTGGAGGGTTTGTGGGCGCCCAGAAGATCCACTCACTCAGGGCTACCCGTGGCAGCGTACACCTGGCAAAGACTGACTCATATCCTTTTGAGCCTCTCGAACAGCAGGCTATGCTGTTTCGTTACACAGATGAAAAATGTACAAAGTGAATCAAAGTGACATGTTTGAAATGCGGAAGATGCGGAAGATATCCTTTCAGTCAAGAAAACATAAGAAAACCAGTCGTAATGATTCCTGGGTACCCCAGAGCAACGTGAGGTAATTAAGCAGCATCACCGTTTCAATGATTGAACGACTCCTCCAAGAACCAGAGCTCTGCAAGGTCCCACTCCTTCTACTTCATCCCACCCTATCAAAGAGATGATGGACTTGATCCACCCCTTCTTAATAGGTGAAACATGGTGTGCCCTTTCTATGCAAAGTGGCTTCAAGGCTTTGCAAAGGGCTGCCCTCCAGTACCTATAGTGGCTTCTTCCGTTGTGACACCAACCCCTTCGACCCCTGCCCTTTCGGCGCAACTCGTCCAGTTCTTTGACCGACGTTCGGCGACAATCCCAGGCACTGGCAGGGTCTTGTGCAGATTCCCAGCCGGGTGGCAGGCCTCCAGGCGCAGGTCCTGGTGTCCATAGGAAGGGATTCAGCATCTGACAGGAAGCATATATGGAACCATAGTACACCAGTACTCTGCAAAGTGACCCAGGAAAGGAAGCAAATCAATCTTTTCTTCAAGCTTCGTCGGTGAAAGCATGCGATCTCTTCTTCATGGCAAGAGCTGGTTGAAACTGAAGGGAAAGTCGTGCATGGTATGCCTCTCTAAGAACTTGGGTGTGTATTAAAAATAGGGAGACCTCCCAATTCGACGCCCTGGAAGAAGGGAGTAAGACATTAAAATACACATCCATTTCTGGGCACAACAGGGGCTTTTGTCTGCTGCGTCCCTCCCATCTGCACAGCAACCTGTGCTTTTTACCTCCTCCCATCATGCACTGGCCAGACTTGGTGACGGAAGACTCGTCCTCCGTAACTGGGCTGAGGCTGCCCGTAGGGAGCGTAGCGCGGATCGGGCCCCGGTGCGCCGCCCATGGGGCCGTAGCCGCCCTGCTGAGGGGCCCCATACCTGCAGATGTTTTCGAAGAAAAGCGTGGAAGTGAGGGATCGGCAGCCAGGGATGGCTTCTTTGTTTGGTATCTACAGTGATCCCGGTAGGAATAAGTAGCCGATCTGGCTTCCTTGGGCCCGACCCCCAACGTTTCGACTGTATCTTCGTTTCTTCGTCCACATGGTGAATGAGATCTTTATTGCGTGAGCAACTACATCCCAGGAGGACCAGAAATCCATAGAAATCCCAGAATTCTACAATTCCCGAAAATGAAGCTTGCCGCCGAAGAGTCTGTGGGCAGCCACCCATGGGTTGGCCATAATTTGGCTGCTGCATGCCATAGCCGCCGCCGCCTCAGGAGCGGCTGTTTACAGCGGGACGTCTGGCCTACATCATGCAGGAGGTGACTTTAATCAGAACACAAACAAAGGAGCAAACTTCTTGCAGGTGGTATGATCATAATGATTCATAATGTCATAAGTAATTCATATATAATATATGTTCTTCTCTGCAAAAGGACAATATGCGCAGAAGTACATCTCCATTGAATTTCTTGAACTCCTATAAAATGTAGAAGAAACTTCAAACACATCAAACTCTGTTCTGAAGACTGCAACTGGAGGATATTTAGCCTCTGACACGAGTGATTTCGGTCAAACCACTATCCTCAGCCTGACTGACATCTTCCCAGAATCCAAAGAGAATGGAGAAATATCAGGGTTGGTGTGGGGTATCAGGCTTATCCCTATGATACGTCTGATCTGGACGCAATGGAAATCAATGGAATACATGTTTGATTCACCATTTCGTGTCCTGGTGGTTGACCATGGGTCAGTTCAGTCTTTGAGCCAAAGAACGCTCCATATGTACTTGCTAAAAGTGCACACGAAGAACACAGGGAACAGAAGAACTCCTCACACAAAAAAGATCGTGAAGATGCTCCGATGTTCGTGCGAACCTCATATCACAATGAGACAAACCCTTCTCCACCTTGCAAAGGACCTGGTGCCATGACCCACAGCCATATGGGTGTGTCTATTCTAATAGGGGGATCTTGTGGCGGGCTTTGGATTTGCAGTAGATGGTTTTTGGCTATTCTCCTTCTTCCAGAGGGGGTCGGAACGCCGGCGGTTCGGTCTCCCTAATTTGAGCTATACACCCATATGAAGGTGACACATAAACGTGATACATTCACGCGCCCATGCCGCGTGCCCAAGCAAGTACCCTAAAGTGGAACACAAAAAATTGAGGGTATAACATGGTATAACTTGTATATGTACATACCTAAGTTAATCTAAGTTAGGGTGCGCGAAACACAGTCTCTTGACACATGAAGGTGGCACGTGAAGCAAGTGAAGGTGATGGTGACAGATGGACAAGGTCACACCTCCGTGATCCTTTATGACCCTTCATTTGCCCGCGACTAAGCCGGCTCGCGGAAAAACCGTCCGAAAACCGATCGAGTTCACCCGAGAAAAAGCCAAGCTTCCACCGCAGCCACCACCGCCATAGCCGCCGCCGCCGCCGCCGAAACCATTGTCAGCACACCAAGATCCTGGAGATTTGTGGCAAGTCGGGCATTCTGAAATCACTAAAACAGTGTCCATGGGTGGTATGCAAGGGTCGTCAACTTCGACATGGATGTGATTTCGGATGAAGATTTCGGACGGACATTTCACCGAGGAAAGACCCGGCACTTAGTCACCATGTGGTACTTAGTCACATCCACACCTGCGGCCAACAACAAAAAGCACCTTGTGGGTCGTTGAGATGGTTTGAACATGTTTGAATCTGTTTGAACATCCGCTGAGCCATGGAAATACCTGGGACATCTCCACATGTACCGAACATGAATCGTGCACACACTCACTACCAAATCGAGGAGCCGAAGCACAGTAATTCGATTGCAAAATCGCTTCGGAACCAAGTAACCACAGTGCTTGCGCACTGTCTGATGAAGGGTTTGGAGGGTGTTCTTCCGGTCTTCATCGGTATGCACAGAGAATCTTCTCTTCACACTGGACTTGGTCAGGATCGACTGTGGAGAACCCGGGCGGTCGTCCGACCGTATCGCCAGTAGGTTCAACTAAGGTATCCTGATCTGGATTCGCGGCCATTTGTCAAAAAAAGCGCGGAAACCAAATAGCAATTGGTAACAAAAATGGCACGGCCAAATTCTGAACTTCCATGTTTCGTTCCGATCGTTTCTCGATGGCTCAGCCGCTGCATCCTTTTGGACGACATGACGACGAGTGACCACTTTCTTTGTACAGTCAATCAACGTCAAACAACTACCATCAACGCAGGCATATAGTATGGTCCACTAGAACGCAAATGTCCATGAGCAATGATTATATACAGTGGTTTCAGAGGTTTGATGGCACAATTCCCAAGTTTGGTGGTTTGTATGGACCCCCCCAGCCTGCGCCATCGAACCTCTGAAACCACTATAGGTTTGATGATCAGTCCTTCATCTCTGAAAAACCAGGCCGAGTCGACGGCACCCCCGCGCCGGTCCTGCTTTGTTTTTGCCTTTCTTACCATCCCATTCAACTTCATATTTGACCTCAGTGGTCAGGTGTCGAGTCCGGTCCTTTGCTGCTGCCTTTTGAAATGCCCCCCCCATTCTTGTGCCGAGTCCGGTGATGGGAGAAGTTGGCTCAGAAGTTGGCTCAGGGGTGGGAGAAGTCAAGAATATCACAATGGATGAACCCGAACTATGGACATTTAGATCTGTTGTTCCAGTTGTTCTCCTATGGGAGTGAAGATTCTTTTATACAAGACAGGTTCTTTTACAACAAGACAGCCTGTCCAACACAGGTTCTTTGAGGATGCAGGAGAACAGTTTCTCATCAAGAAAGCAGTGCCTTTTCCTGGCGCTACTCCTTCGTCTTTACTGGGCTGATCATCCCATCTGAAGATCTTCAGCTATTGACGCTGTGCTGGAGACTCCTGACCACTGCATGCTCATGCATGCTAATGCTTTGGAGATGGGCATTTGGATTGGAATTCTTTGGAACCGGCCAGCTGGAGCCTTGAGAATGAGCCTTGAAGGAGTTGAACACTGAGAATCCTTGCTGGTTCTCCAAGTCTTGTGGCCATAAGCTTGAAGCATTTGTCACAAGTCGCTTCAATCACTCTTTTGGAACGAAACAGCACAGAAGAAGTTCCAAAGCGGTGGGTAGCAGTGATTATCCCCCCATTGAGGGTCTCAAAAAGCACCTCTTGCAGGTGTTGGTGTCTTAAGCAGTTTTCCAGTGCTAGCAGCTACTAGCGCTGGTGACAGCAAGTTGAAGGTGTCTTTACTTCATGACTCCAAGACATAGGGAGTATCTTTTGTGAACACGGGGAAGCCTTCCAAAATCTTTCAAAACTTGCTAATCCTGCTAAGCCTGCTTCTACAGCCGATGACGGATTCATGACCATCCCCAACCAATATCCTTCGTCCACTTCTCGGCAAAGGTATCCGAGTGCATCCAGAAATCCCAAGTGTTGGTGGGTGCCCAAAGGTTCTAAAAGACAACAACATACAACAATCATGGACTAGAGTTACTAGAGGGCACATGGTTGCTTGTAGTGGAAACTACTAGTAGGGTGCTGCACAGGGTATCGCAAATGATCGCAAATGATATGAATCGTTATTACCCCAATCACCCGCAGTTTCCTCATCACCCCAGCAAAAAGCTTCTCCCACGACTATCCCCTACAAACCACCGGCCTTCCTGTGCCCGTTCACTCCAACATTCCAGAACTCTTCGCCCCAAATCCTCTGCGAAACGAGCGGCCTTCATTCCATCCTGAATGCTGTTGGGGTCCCCGCTGAACTGCCGCTGGTGTGCGAAGAGGTCTTCACTACCGTCCTGAGGCTCGATGAAGCCAAAGCCTCGCGGAATTGGGCGCCGCCCGCGCGATAAAGCCCGGGTCCCGCTTTGGAAGGAGGGAAAAAACACCCAAGTCAGCGTGTGCTGCGGGGTTCCAGGGTCATGCAGGGTCTCTGGAGTTCAACGTGTTTTCTTGCGGACTGGTGCTGTTTTGGGGGGGAAGTCCAGTTCGAACAAATGGAAAAGGTGCACGGAGTGCGAGGCCCCTGCCAAAAATAGCAGTCGACCCAGGCTTCAGGCGGCTTCAATAAATTTCTACTTGAAAGTGAAATCGACGTTCTGATGATCTCTGATGTGGTATCTCCTGTAGTGGATCCGGTCTTCGCTTCTGCAGGATTTGATCTATGATGAGCTTCGCCTGCTCCTATCACCAGAACACCAGAATTGGTTTTCTTTGGGACCAGCTCGGAGGCAGCTCGCGGCAGCTTGTTCTTGTCCCGAGTTCGCGCGCGCGCGCATGGATCAGTGACGGTTTTGGGCCAGAATGACACTCGTCTCGAGCCCCTTCCCTGCACTAGAACTCAAGCTGGTGTCCAAAAAACGCTCCGCGAAGCCCTCGCTGCCGCCCAGCCCTGCCCTCGTCTTCACGCCTTTGTCGGTGAAGTACTTCTTCAAGACTCCCGGCAGCATGGCCTGGTGGGGTCGGGTCGGTCGTTCGCCGCCCCAAAGCGATGAGTCACGAGTGATGAGTGTCAAAGGTATCTGTGCAGAATTCTGGCAGCAATTGGTTCCCCTGTTTTTTTTCTCCTACGGTTTTCCCTTGTATGAGTGGTATGATGTGGCATCGGCTCGCCATGAGCCATGAAGAAGAACGGTCCATGGCGCCAATGAAGAAATATGAAACATCACGACACATCCATGCTGCCATGCTCATCGAACTTGGACCGTCGCTCACCATCCTCAACCCATCAAATCTCCCAGACTCGGTCGACATGGAACATGACCTCGGTCTGCGCTTCCCCACAGACCAGACCCGCCTCCCTCCACCCATCTCATCGTGTCGATCTCCTAAGATCCCCCACCGCTCCCGCACCACTCGCATCCACCGTCCAAGTTGATGCTCGATATTTTCCTTTTCGGTCGTCCCACTCGGCCTGGAGGACGGAGTGGGAAGATGTCGACGTCCGTTTTTCTCCGATGTCCGGTGACGGACAACCCGAAACAAAAAGGGGTGGTTGATTTCAGGTACCATAATATGGCAGGTACGGTCATGTCACCGGAGGACCCCACAGCCAAAGCAGAGTGTGACAGTGTCACCATCAGCTACGTGTCACTGCAAGGAAAGAACACGTATTGTATTGTGATCCGACTTTACATCTATAATCTATGTATACTACCCAAAAGCACACACCAATTACTATCAATTACTACTGTGCATGCTTCAGGAAAAAACACACACACACACACATAGCAGCCGCACAAAAAAAGACACAGTTGTGGCCTACAGAGGGGTTTTCACATCCGAACACTCCATGGGACTGGAAGGGACTGCCTACATTGACACCCTCCTAACATCCCCGACACCACCCCAATGTAGACCGCATGGAACCCCCATGGACCCCACTCGGTGGCTCTTCGGAAAATGGTTCGAAACCAGCGGACAATTCGCTGGTTCCATGGGATAGCGACAGCGCCCTAGGGATCGAAGTACCTTGTCAGAAGGTGATTGGAGACTGCTTATGTAGGTTTGGAGGGTCCAGTCATACCTTCTGAGGACGTACGACTGGATCCCTAGTGGGGGGGAGAGTAGTCAGTTTGATCCGCCCTGTCCGAAGCGGTACCACCGCGGCCCCCACAGTTCTGACGCTCTCCGGCGTCTCCGGTTCTTCTTGAAACCGATGGTGAAACATGGGGAAACCATGTGGAAGCCTCCAATCTGGGAAATCCATGAGGAAGCCTCCTGTTGAAACCGCTTGCAGTCTCCACCATCCCGTCCCCTGGCCCCTAGTTGGAGGCTAATCCAGGCCCCCGGGAAAAAAAGGGTCGAAGCATCACCATCACCACTTTACTACAAGAAACTGAAACCTCACAGGCTCACAGCCACATACCCGACCGACCAATGCCAATGTCCCTCCGTCCTATGTCCCTCCGTCGACCCGAGCTGCGTCCTCAGCCCCGCGCCAACCGACGTGACACCGGCGGCGCGCCTCGTAGGTCACACGCTCGCCCCCGCGCAAGGTGTCACCATCTCCCACGAACCTGCAGTGCTTTGTTTGGGTGGATGGGGGTGAAGCCTGGGTCCGCGTGGTTCGTTGGGGTTTGCATTTGTTGCTACCCAAAAGGAAGATCGGTTGAATCAGAAAGAAGGTATTTACAAGAAGATAATAGTTCAGGGCTCGAGATGCGTGGATTCCAGTGAACATCATCTTTCAACGCCGCAATTTCATTATGCTAGTGTTGGCATGTCTTGGTGGAGGGTCTTTGTTGCAGCAATTCCCTCTAGAGATGTACTTGTTGACTTGTTGTTGTTTTTTTGTGAACATTCGTGAACCACATAACAATGGACAGCACTGACAGCACACATATGTTTTTTGGGGGCCGTGTCTTGGCCGGACTCCTGCCAGGTGATTCTCCCCTCAATCCTGCCAGGAGTTGCACCACCGATGCACCACCGATGTGCCAGGTGCGAAGACAACTTCTGTTCTTTCGGTGGCCACCGGGGTTGGAGAATCAACGTCAGTTGTCTCTGTCTCTGACCTGGTCAACGCCAAGGAAACCAGATCTGACGAAGCAAACCAGCAAGCCTGTCAGCTATTGAACTTGGCACGTTTTAGCACTCAGCGCCCTGAAAGAATCTCAAAGATGTCAAGGTATTCACAGTGCTTTTCGGCAGTTTCTACAGTTTCTTAAGGTCCGATTCAAATCACAGTCCTGACCATTCATGAAATACACCCGTTTTATGTCCCCTTTTAATGTTTGATGCTTTGACTATCGATTTCTGAGAAATCTCCCCACTTTTCTCGCAGGAGTTCGGAGACAAACCTTGGTGACGCGTGGCTCATCCAGTGCATGGAATCTCAAGGTTTTACACCAGGAGATCATGGATATCTCTGATTTCTCTACCCTCTGACTCACTAACATGGAAGGAGACACCTCCCTGTTTGGTATTCGGAACATGATCTTCCCAGTGGCCATGTTAGTCCACTTCGATGTTAGAGGGGGAGTGTATATGTCTCTGTTGGACTCCAGTATTTGTTTCACATACGGTTTCACCAGGTTGCACCAAAGACCTTTGAACGTCATGAGATGTCATGAGTCATCTGTCCGGTGCAATCCGTCAACCAGCCGAACCTCCCAACCAACCGCGAAAAAAAAGAAAAAACAACGCTGCGAGAGAGAGAGACGCGGCTCGTTCTAGGCCGAGCCGCTGCAATGTATGTGCAAAAATGTCTTCACCGCCCTCATCAGGTGTTATGAATCCGAAACCCTGTGGCGGGGAGAGCCATGCGGCATCGGCGGGTGGGGAAGGGAGCGATCAGGAAGGTGGAGTCATCCGGACGATATCCACACTCCATGCGTGGAATATATGCCTATATTGATGCCCCAAACCACCCCAATGTAGACAATTATGGCATACATGGAGTGTCTGGGTATAAGCTCGTTTTTTAATGGCACCCTTCATGTAATGTGTCTTCGGTGGAGTCTATTGTAGAATGAGTTGCAGGTGATATCCTGCTGGAGAATGATAGTAGCCTGAATCACAAAGACATTGCCGATTTTCCATGATGCCAAGACCAGTATTTTTGGATCCTTTCGGCTTAGTTCTTACTCGCAGTGTGGTTGATCTTCAGGAAATTGATGATGTACAAATTTGCAGGCCTTCTTGGATGTTCCACAGAACAAAAAGCACGATGTGGTCGAGACGTCTCTGGGTGAAAAAACGTGGACCTTAGAGCCCCATGGCAGGGGTCAAACCCGCCACCTTCGCCGGGGTCTGGACCCTGAAAACCCCTTCCATTGGTTCGGGCCCGGATTCTTTAGGCGCTAAACATCTCCAGGTCGTTCGCCCTCTTTTCGTGCCCGGGAAACCCCACCCACCGGTCCGTCGTCGCGGCGACGGAACCGGTGGATCTGATGGTTTGGGCTATGGACCAAAGACAGCATGAATATGAATTGAATTGACACCTCCCTGGAAACCTAGTCCAGTCCCAAGCAGAAACAGTTCTTGAATGTTCTTGATGTTTCCCCAGTCCCAGCTATTTCCTGTAAAGGATCTCAAGCTGGCGCCATACTGGAACAGCCAGTATGTTGTTCTGGTTGGGACAAGTGAAGCATCAATTGATCGGGAGACGAGGAGTTTGGCTTGCTTTGGTGCTGAAACATTGTTCGATCACTAGACATTGTTCGATCACTAGACATTGTTCGATCACTAGACATTGTTCGATCATGTTTAAGTCATCTTTCGTACAGAAAGTATTATAGGGATGATGACAATCAACTTGATTGATCGTAAACGTGCAAGTTGAAGCCCAGCCCACCCCTGCACCAATCCATCGCCCACCCTTTCTTCACTACCTCATGGTCCTGTGAAAGGATGGCCCCACTATGTCCCACCATTGGTCGATTCGGAAGCTCCCGAACTCGTCTCCACCCCTTTAGTTCGAAGGCGGCCAAAGTCGTCTGCGATGGATCCTTGCAGTTCTCCTCACCACAAAAGTCACTACCTCATGGATCCTCCTAAGATCTCCTAAGACCCCTCTATATGAGGGTCCGACCCCTCCATATGAGGGCCCAGGGTCGCGTCTGGGTAAGTCTTAGGGGCTAAACGCCTGGGACCCTCAAATCCCGGCCCCAGACCCTCGCCTTGTCGGAGACAAATTTCTTTAACTTGCCAGTTGGCATGATTGAGATAGACTACGGCGGAAGCGACTCCAGGATCTGAGGCCTTTCACCTCCAGGGCAACGTTCCTGGTGAAACTCATCAAGTTCGAGCCAAAACGACGGAGTGCGATCTCCAGGTGTAACATCGGGTGTTGCGGAGAAATAGAGAAGAGAAGTGGGAGATCGAATGCCAACTCAGCATTGATACCTTGGCTCTTGAGGATGCCACATCAGCATTGAGGGAAAGTGTGGCTCCGATGGGAATCAGTGGTATTTTTAAATAGAATGCGGGACAGTGTCTTCCTTGATGTGAAGTGGACGTGGATCGCCTCAAAAAAAAACCGGTTGACCGGCGATCGCCACGTGCTCTCTTGCAATGTACTCGGTCACTTTCTTGGAGATCGTTGCTTGACAGGAGCACATCAATCCACGCTCTCCCCAACTGACGTCTCCAAGACCATGTCCTGGAGCATGATCCAAGGCACCATTTAGCACATACAGCGACTTGATCCCCCCAATCACCCATCCTTTCGAGGTCACACAAACACATGAACTTTCGCACCCATGGATTGCTCGGATTTCCAAACCTTTCCCTCCGCCTGCCGCTGAAAACACTTCTTTTCATTGACAATCGAGCGATCACCTGAAAGCACACCAACCCGATACTCAATCACCTGATTAAAAGGCTGGCTGGCTCAAAGACAAGCTTCCTTCGATGCAACAAACTCCTTTTGTTCGTGGACATGACAAAACACCTTGTAGTCGAGATTGTTTCGAGCCACAGCGAAGGAATGAAACATGGGCACCGGTGTGACATGCTGGGTGGAGCGCACATGCTGGGTTTGGTGACCAGGTTATGTCTGGACTTCTCTCCCACAAGTGTACCAATCCATAAAAATCAGAAAATACAAGTGTAGCTTCTGGAATCAAAATAACTCGATATACGTAGATGATATATAGGTGATTCCAGGCTGCCTGGCTATGCGAACCCTCGCACCCGCGCAGGTGGCTTGTTTACGTGGCCGCTCAGGTGGCGGCGGGATAACCATCACTGTAGCGACCAGGACCTCAGATTTAGTCGTGGTGAGCTGCCTGTGCCCTGGGTGCATTATTTAGCGAGAGTGGGGGTGGTCAGAGTGGAGCTTCATTTTCAAAAACATGTGGTCAATCTCTTCACAACCAAAAACCGTGCAGAAGGATCAATTTAACTTTTTACTAGTGGATCAGTTAAGTTTGAACCCCTTGACGAGTGTGCCACCTCCCCACTATGATGGTGCCAGTTTTTTTTTCACACTAACCAATGTAGACTCTTGATGATCTTTCAACCCCAATATGAGGAGGGGTTACAATCCATGTCTGGGGGGGTGATTCCGCCCTAGAGCTCCAACCCCCCACCCTCTGTGAAACGAAGGTGGGCCAGGGGTGGGTGGGTGCCAGGGGGGGTCGAAGACCACCTTCCCTGAGGAGATGGGACAGGAGCCCTAGGGATGATTCCATCTGCTCCACTTACTATATAATAAGATTGGAACTTTGGGGTCACGGATGGGTCAAGGTGCCTTATAGTGCCCTATCTTCTATTCAATCACAGTATCTCCGTGGATGGCCGGTGACCGTACCTCCCCCGGCCCTCTTCGGTCCTCACCGAAGCATGGGACTGGCAAATACAGGGTGGTGGTGGTTGTTTTTCACGGTGGCTTGACGGAGGTTGGCTTTGGAGGAGGTTGCCTTGACGGACAGAAAGGCATGTTTCAACCTGAGACGTGAACCGCCTGCCGCCGAGACGACCGACCCTTAGGCGACCTTCGGGCACTGCGCGCCACATGGGCCACGGTTCGTTCACAGGTCGCTACCGGACCCGGCAGAACTGGGACCCCGGAGGAGAACGGAGTTCTTTTTTGAAGAGAAGAACTGGTCTTTGAGAGGGTCAGCGGTAAGTCTAAACCATGTTTGTTGAAGTCTAAGTTTTTGGCAAAACTGTATACTTAAGATCTATACTATCTATGCTGCTTGAATCTACTTCAATTCATCGGTTCTACGTTTGTCCACGCACGCGGTTTCCTTTGGAAAGCCACCCACATGTCAGGGCTGTCAAGGCCCCACGTCACAAGGGGTTGGGGCCCTACACATCCACATACCTCTGAGAAGGTGATTGGGTCGCATTTCTATGTAGGTGCCAGGAGGGTCCTTCTGTATCCTAGCCTAGGGGCAAAAACATCAAAAACACCCACCACAATCGAATTGATTTGCCCACTAAAACGCGTATCATCTCCTCTCCCTCACAAAAATGAAAGCGACCTGGACTCCAAATTCTCCAGTTCAGCGTGTCATCCTCAGCTTGATCATCCGAAAGAAGGGACTCTTACTGCACTGATGAGGCCATCCGAGCAGCTCAAGAAGGGATGCTTTAAGGCTTCGGTCGCCGTAGGTCTCAAACAGGGATCCACCTTGAAAAGGCCGCATGGTGGGTGCGAATCTCCTGCGAAAAGGTCCTTGGAGTTTCTCAGGGCCTTGGGATGCTAGACGAGCGGAAAAGGAGTGGCATGCTAGGACCTTGCACTTGACTTTGGGAGAGGGAAACGGGGATGGTTGGTCTTGTCCACAAGCACAACGACTCTTCACTATTGTTGACTTAACCTATCGAGCGGTGCTATGCTCTTCTTCTCTTGAAGATCGCAGCCGTCGACGCAAAGCAAAGGAAGTGCGACACAATCACAACTCACGGCTTCAACCAACGATCCGTTTCTTTTTCTATCTTTCTTTCTGGTTCTTTTCTTGGCTTCGATTTCATAATTGTGCTTTTCTTATTTAGTTGTCTCGGTCCCTTTCCTTCTCTTTCTTTCCCTAACACGGGTGACCTCGTCAACCTGCTTCATAACCGAACACAAGCACCCCAGGCCACAACCCATGTTGTGGCCGTTCTGGTCCATTTTTTCCCTTTCCTATCCTTTCCTTCCTGGTCCTTTCTGAATGCCCTTGATTCTTTGTCAACCTGTTATCGTTACCCCGAAGAAAAACAACAACACTCCGGTTTTCGATTCCTTGGCTTCCTTGGCATCCCTTCTTTGTCCGTCTTTCACTTTCTGTTGAGGATGCTTTCCTTTCCTTTGCTTCCTTTTGCTTGCCAGAACCCTATCCACCATGAAAGCAAAAAAGCACAAATCGGCTGGTGGAGAGACTTGCCAGGGTCGGTGCTGCATTGAGGCGGATCTTGGGATGGATCATATCTCATTGGATCTTGGGATGTATATGTCTACTTACCGTATCTTTCTTATCCTCCACCGTCTTCCACCCTCCCGATCTGATTCCAACTTCTCACCGATATAATCCCAGACGCGACTCATGGAACTGCCAGTCCGCCGAGAGTTCCGGCCAGGGGTGGTGGTGCCAGGGGGGTCAATGGGGCGGCAGATATTCCAGTCCCATGGAGTGCCTATATAATCTATAAATTCTGATAAACATCTGATCAAAAAACTGTGATTACCATTCCAGTTTCTTGGGGAGAGGTCGAATGAAACTCAACACTTCACCAGAGTTCATCATTTGCCCTCATGACTTATAACTGGTCATACTCAAATGCTAGGCTGCTAGGCTGCCAACCTTAGGCTTCACCTCCGACCGCAAGATGAGCTACACCGACGACCGCATCGGTTCCGATCGGGGTCCGATCGGGTCCGACGCCTGCAGAAGCGAAGCCAAGAAGTCCAAGAATGCCTCGGAAGATCACAACGACCACGGCTGCCGCCCTTGTACGTGTCCCATATTATGATGGGGGCACGGGCACTGAGGCTAGGGGAGGCTTTGGGCGAGAGTTTGGGCACCGCCCCAATTCCAAGACTCAACACCAAGCATTTGCCCGAGAACTGCTATCCCCTTCTTGGCTTCTCTGAGAATGATTGCTTGCTTTGAGCAATTCAAAAGAAGGATAGTATGAAAAAGCACGGGGAAGGTGGGGAAAAAAGGAAGCACGACTTGAGGCCTCGATTCCTTCCTCACATCAACTCATCAACCACCTCCTTTTGACCTGGGAGCACAGCCTTGCAGGCGGCAAACTAATAACTTATTTATTTATCCTATTTTATCCTTTAGTAAACCCCACAGTAGATCCTGCAAACTAACTGCTAGCTCTCGGAGGTGTTGGCTGAATTTGTCAAACATCCGTGGGTTGAGAATCACCCCAAATGCAGGCAACACACGTGCCCTGTGCGTGTGTTAAACGTTCCAACCAACAACCAACTGGCGCAACCGGCGCGAACCGTGAGAACCCACCTCGTCGTTGGTTCGCATGCGCTGCCGCAAAGAACTCCTTGACAAAATGGTCGCAGGATGCATGGCAATTGGTTGGTGTTCGTCCGCCTGAACACACTCTCTTGTGATTGAGAATGAACAAGCCACAAACACAATAAACAAACAAACCCAGGGACTCAATCTCCATCACCATTGAACTAAGGTTTTCAACCATCATTATTATAGTCTATTATATAAGGCCTCCATGATTTCCTGTCCTTTTGGGCACAAAGAGCTGCATTCGTCGCTGAGGTTGCGGTTGCGGCCTGGGCTAAATCGCCGGACCAAAGCGTCGCGCCAAACAATTCTCCGGACAAGGTGTCCAAAATAATTGAACGTTTGTATGTGTTTTCTAGTGCACGCAGACTGACTTACCGTTCCAAAGTTCTGAGGTCTGACAAGGACCCTCATCTGGAAATCCAAAATGGTTGAACCCGAACCAGTCCCATACTCACCCCACTCCCTCATGCTTGGCTCCATGTGCCCCGACGCGGTGCTCCGCTCGAATTCCCGAAAGAGGCGGCCATCCTGATCCGCATATTCGCGTGCTTCGCCAACGGCTAGAGAACCGCCCAGATCTCAAACTTTGTTGCCTGGTTCAAAGTATAACATATATTTGTGGTAAATGGTACTTGTTCATTTTTGTTGGTCCAGCCTGGCCGGTCCAAAGTTGGTGTGAGAAGGAACAAAGAACCAAAGTCAAAATTGCTGCGTTGACCAAGGGAACAGAACATTTG